AACCTTGGTGGCTTTGAGTATCCACGTTGATGTTAAAGCTTCCGCATCCTAGAAGCCTTGAGGGCTTGGTTCCAATCTTTGTGAGTTTGCATGCTCACTAGGCTTACTTAGGCATCCTGGAAGCCTTAACTCTGATATTTTGATAGTTTGGGCTTGAGTGTTCAATATACTTAGTTTTAAACTTTTTTATCACATAACTAATAAGTTTGCCTTTGGTTTTGGAAAAGAAAATCTCTGCTGTGATTGTACCAAGTACATGAGTGCAAGATATATTATGGAAATGAGACAAGGCGGGTACGTAGAAGTGTGGTGATGGTGCCCTTCAGTCCTGTCCACCATTTATTGAATCGAAAACCAAATCTAATTGGCTTCAACTTCAAAACAGGACCCGAATTATTTTGAACCTTAAGAAACAACTCATAAAAAGTACACAATCAACAACCCTAAGCCCCCACCCCATGCATTCGCATTACATAATTGTCGCTGTTGATTATGATGTCTCTTCTAACCTTTTTATTCGTCATTTCCATGTATTATGCCATAATGAAATTTTAAGAAATCAAATATAAATAATAAGAAAATGAGAGGTAATATTTAATTATTCAATTTTCAAAGGAATTTAATAGTGAATTAAAACTTAAGTGTCGACTGACCTAATTAAAATGAATAATAACATACATTGGAGGGTAAGTGCATATTATCCAAAACAACACTTGGCAAGTTCGTGGTTGGCCTTGTTAGGCGCATGTGTTGTCTTCGTACCATCGAAGCATTGCTTTCTATGGCTTGACCGACGTGAATCCCCAACTCAAGCGTTACGAGAGATTTTATTTTCATAATGTTTCCAAGATGTCCTGTCTCCACTTTGATCACATCACACCACCATTACCAAATCCACGGGCCAATCTATATGCCAACGTCTAGATTTCCCCTCCCCCTATAACGTATCCATATTATTGATTGTGTTTATCTTAAGATTTTATTTGTGCTCACTCGTATACAAAAATTTCATATTATTAATACATGTATGTCCACCCTTAAAATTATTTCTGAATTTGTCACTGACTAAATCTGCTTATAATGCCTCCTACCTATTTACTCGGTTAAACTCTTCATATACATGTTCATCTTTGTTTCTACTTTTTTTTATGATGAATTGGTGTCAGAGATATTTTTCGGAAAAGATGAAATAGGTCTAGATGTTCTCATATTTGTGTAAGAGAACAATAAATTGAAAAGTACTTAAATTTGTGCTTATGAATGCTTTCCAATGCCCATGTCAATAAGGGGTTTATGATTTTGAAAAGAAATAAGGAGCTTAAGTTTAGTAAAGAGTATGAAGATGAAGAATAAAGGAACGAGTAATCTTTAGAAAGAAATTACTCATGAATGTAGCTTCTCTCGGGCCTCTTTGGGCCTTAATTTTACCCAAACTTGATCCCCAAAATCTTGAAAAATGACTCATCCGAACTAAAGACCTTTTAAGGGTCTATTACAATTATAATTTCAAGGGCCCTTGAAAAGGGTTATTAATTTCTGAATTTATCCTTGATATTTATTTTTTTCCTGACAGCATATTTAGGTGTATTTCATGTAAATAAAAATAGGATGATTCTTGCATGGTCGACAAGCACGATGAATATAAAAAATGATGAGAACTATTAATTTAATTTATAAAAAATTAAAATTCTAAAAAGCTCAATGTATAATTATAAATTAGTTAAAAATTAAATGTAAATTATTTAAAATAAAGGGTAAACTATACCAGTGACCATTGAATTATTGCTCCTTTTCATTTTGGCCACTATTTTTGAAATTTTATCAATCAGATAACTCAACTATTTAAATACATTCAATTAACCCATTTGCCGTTAATATTTAACGGAGAAGCTCATGTGTCGTTAATTTTATAACGATTATTGATCAAAATAAAACCGAAAACGTAATGTTAGTGATGATTTTGAAAAAAAAATAGTTTGGTGACTAAAATGAAACAACATGAATAATTAGGGGACTAAATATCTAATTTACCATATATTTTATTCAACATGAATTTTTACTTCAATTCTTTATGTAAATTCTATCCTAAAATCAATTCTTTAATTTTTTATACTTTAATCAGTAACTTATTCTCAAAATACTTTTATAAAAAAATAAAATTATAAATATATCTAAAAATTTTATATAATATTTAATATTAATAAATTAAAATCAAGACCAAGTCGATAGAATATATAAGTAACAAAGATCAAATGTGTAATTATACCAAATATTTTAACTGGCACATCAGTTTCTCCGTTAAATATTAACGGTAAGTTGATTAATTGAATGCATTTAAATAGTTGAGTGACATGATTGACAAAATTTCGAAAATGGTGGCCAAAATGAAAAGGGATAATAGTCAGGTGGTCATCGGTATAGTTTACCCTTTATTTTAAATAATTTACCTGTAACTTTTTAACTTATTTATAATTATACGTTGAGCCCTTTAGAATTTTAAATTTTTATAAATTAAATTAATAGTGCTTATCGGATCTCGTCGAACGTTGTAGAATTTTCCTAAAATAAGCAACATTAATTTAATTTATAAAAATTTAAAATCCTAAAAGGTTCAACGTATAATTATAAATTAGTTAAAAATTTAAAGGCAATTTATTTAAAATAAAGGGTAAACTATACCAGTGACCACCTAACAATTACCTCTTTTTATATTGGCCATCATTTTTGAAATTTTGACAATCAGGTCACTCAATTATTTAAATGCATTCAATTAAGCCATTTTCCATTAATATTTAACGGAGAATCTAATGTGACAGTTAAAATATTTGATATTATTACACATGTGGTCCATGTTACTTATATATTCTATTAATTTGGTCCTAATTTTAATAAATATAAACTTAATCCTCAAATCAAATGGTGCCAAAGTAGTCTTTGTTCATCTTATTCATGTAAGAAAACAAACAAGAAAGAAAAGAAAAGAAAACTTACAAAAAATTGATCTCATTTTTGAGAAATTAACAAAAATTAAATATCAAACGCTTTGATTTAAAAAAATGCATCTATATTAAGTAAAATCAAAATTTAAACTCTTAAAAATTAGTTCAAAACAATTAGATTTTACTTATAATGCGACGAATTAGGTAAAGGTAAAGTTATAATACTTGGATAATTGAGTAATAAAAAATAAATATTTTTAATCAAACAGTCTAAAAGTAATTACAAAATAAAATAAAATATATAATTTAAAATCTTAAAATAATTAAAGATATAATTTAAACACATGAATTTATCACACTAATTGTCTTGCATGTATCAATATAAAATATAGTATTTTAAGCTAAAAAAATAAAGAACATGTAGAAATACTGGCATGTCTCATTATAAAACATTGACATGTTTATTTTATTATTAGAAATAATAAAAGCCGATAAAGAGAAAATAAAAATTGTACTGGTTCATATTAAATTAGATTCCTCTCCAATTAACTACTTGGCATATTTGAGGGTTAAATTTATTATAATTTATTAAAATTAGGACCAAATTTGTAACACCCCAATTTAGGGGCTAAAATTAAGAAATTATAAAGTGGTGGAATTAATTGTTATTTTGAAAGAAACAGTGGGTTAAATTGTAAAATTTTAAAGTTGACAGACCGTTTTATGAAGTGCAGGAAGTTCAGTGGCTAAACTCTTGGTTTAACCATTTTAAAATATGAGATGTTATAAACCCCAATCCTCGTATGTTTTCTGGAAAATTTTCCAGTTTCCCTCTCCCGTCAACCCCTCTTTGAACTACGATCTACTCGCCGTCCGACCTCCAAACGACGAGCCGAAACCACCATCGTGTTCGTTGTCAATCGAGGAACAAACCCCTCAAACCTTTCATCGTGAATCATCGTCGTTCATCGTGAATTTCAGTCGGAAGTATCGTCGGTAATAACTCAGTTTTAGTTGGTTTTTCATCGATTCACGACGATCGGGTCATCCATTTACGACACCTCCCGCACCATCGTGTTTGTTGCATCGTTCCGAGTTTGCCAGAGTCATCCTTGGTCTCCGTCGACGGCGGCGCGTGAGGAGGTGAAGCGGTCAAAGTTTCCGATTTGTTGAAATCGAGCTCTCCGCCATTCAAAATTGTGAACCGAGCTTTGTAAGTATCTCGAAATCGCTCAAAATAATTTTTAGAAATTTTTCTGGGATTTTATCACTGTTCACGCGCCCCCACTGCGTGTGGGGAAGAAAAAAATGACCGGTTTGACCGGTTTTGGTGCATAGTTGACCGGTTTGACCGGTCACAACCCGACCCGACCCGTTTACCCGACACGTTGACCCGACCCGACCCGTTGACTCGACCCGTTGACCGTCGTTGACCACTGTTGACCAAAACTTTGACCGGGCATTAAACGACCTTTGACTTCGACCGAGTATACCTATCCTGACATTTTTCGACGTTCCAAATCCGATTCCGCTGTCCGTTTTTCGAAATTCAAACCTGAAGGCCTCGAAATTGCCGGTCAAACCTGTTGACTTTGATTTTGACCGAAAATTCCAAATTTCCGAAAAGTCATATTTTATGCTTTCGACGTCCTGAATCCGAATCCAAAGTCTGTTTCGCCAAATTCAAACCCGCTAAGCCATCTTTCACTAATTTATCACCCGATTGGATCCGTTTATCGTAATTAAGCTCCGTTTCTGATATAATTTATATTGATATGTATCTGAGGAATTATTGGAAGTTGAATTGAAGATCAAAGGCGTGCGAATGGAATTTTTATGGTGGATCGGTATTGCACGAAAATCAAGGTAATACTTTACTACCTCTTTATGCTTTTTAGAACATGTGAATATTGGTAAATACATAATTAAGACAATGTTGGTCTCATTTGTGTAGTTAATTAGTTTCTACACTCGATATGAATGTGGTAGAAATTCAATATCTGAATACGGATCGAATGATTAATATAAGAGATTGAAAGATTGTTAGAATTAAATTACAAGTTTGTGATTAGTGATAAAGAAATCAGACATGGATTTGTAAATTATATTATTTTCGTTAAGAGCTAATATCGAAATTATCTGGTTAAGAAATTACGGAAATGCCTTAAGAGGTAGGATAGTATGAGTTGACTCTAAATGAGAAAATACTTAGAGGATTTGTACTTAACTCGATTAAGTACGGATTTGATTGTTAAAATCCTGACTTAGTGCAGGAAAATTCCTGATATTCCGTTTGTAAAATCTGAGAAGGCACTTGACCCGGAAATATCCGAGTTATGAGTAAATACCTGAAGAACAATTTGTCGGGGGTGTTCTGTTGTCAGAATTTTTCGAAATGACTGAAATAAATGATAAGATTGAAATTAATAGTAAGATCAGACGAAAGGAAATTATTAAAGTGCACTGAATCTGTAAAATGACCAAAAATACCCCTGTAATGGAAATGACCCAAGAATATCACCAAGCTCAGGAATGATTGGATATCCTCGAGCTCTGAAATGAATGGAATAAAACTGAACACCAAAATTACCAAAATACCCTCATGACATATACTAAGTAAATACCTTGGATTAATTAAGGAATCCAAATAAGCATGGGTATTGACCTACCTTTAAAAGTAATGGAATACAATTTAAGTGAGTAGATCAACCCTAAAGCTATGTTAATACCTGAATGGCATAGATATTACTGGAATGCGTGTTCATCTTCTTAAGTTTGACTCGATGATAAATTTTGGAAGTATTCAGCTTAGCTCAACTCTGGATCGCATTCAGTACTAAGAATTGGACGTTTGTTCGACAAATCAACCACGAAGACCAAATTGAATGGAACGGAAGTGCAACATGTGTCTTAAAATCAGGAACGCTTGAATTACTCTGGAAAATTCTGAAGTATCTGGAATTGACTTGAATGTTAAATAAATTAAGTAACCACAAGGACCGAGGATTGAATAAGTGAGTTGGATGAATCTAGAAATGTTAATAAACATATATGATGTAATGTTCTTATGGATTATGAATTACAAAATCAAGTACGTCAGTATTTCATAATATTGTGGAAGCGTGGAAATGAAATAAAGACATTGAAAGATTTATTCAGCGATAATTCCGAAAATGGTCTACGGACAAGAATTTGTGGTATTAAAGAGTAAATACCCTAGAAGGAAAATGAATTGACCAGTCGACATAGATTGTTAAGGTTCTGAATCTTCGTTCTCAAGATTGTTCGATTATCCGATCAATTGACATGGATGTAAAGGATTCTGAATACCCTTCTGATTACGTACAGCTTCTGAAAACTGTCCGAATAAGATAATATCCTGATAATTCACATTCTAAATAACGGATGATTCTGTCAGTTAATGAACTCTTCCAATAGTGATTCTAAATTCCGATATCCTATCGGTATACTGAATATTCATGTTTCTCTACCTATTAAGATTATCCAATACCTCTGAATAATATCTGTAAACTCTGGTGTGTTCCCTAATCATATAAATATTTTATCTGATTTTCGACTTGAATTCTATTCTGATACATTACCTGAATTCTGTTCTGATTTCTGATATGGATTCTGTTTTGATATCTGATCTGAATTCTGTTTTGATTTCTGATACCTCTGTTTACCGACGGAGAAATGTTTTATCTGGGGGGTTTATTGTTGGAGGAAGATTATCTGCAGGCTTCTCGGCTGTGTAATCAGGGCCTTACTGTTACTGGTTGTGCGGGGTGTATGGTTCCGGGGAACCTACACAAACAAATTGTGAAAGGATGGGGTGTATATATATATGTTTTAAAAAAAACTATACTAGTTTTACGGGAACACACTAGAAAACATATTCTGATCTCCTTAACTCAATCATCCGAAATATTTCTCTGAACTGAAAGCTCATTGTCCGTTATCATCTGAAATATCAGTAGGATCTCTGCTCAGTATAAAAATCTGTAAATGTTCGGAAATAATAAGGATATGTATGTTTATCTGTATCTGGACGTTCATCAGCATCATCTGGTAGTTTTGTATTACTGAGCTTTCCAAAGCTCACTCTATTACTCACATTTTCAGGTTAAAAGAATTATACCAGTGCAGTTATCGACATCAGTAAAGGAATTCGTCCGGCGTTGTTGCAGAGTATGGTACATGTGATTAGGGGGCATGTAATTGTATTTTGATTTATATACGTGTTTGGAAATCTGTTTTATTTTTAAATAGTGAAAACTGATTTTATAAGTTTACATGTTCCGATAAAAAGTTTTAAATTTTCCGCTATTTTTACAGTGGGTCGCTCCGGTGGCCCAAATGTGACTTCTCGGATCGGATCGGGCTAACCGCATCGGTCTGGGGGGTTACAAAATTGATAGAATATATAAGTAATGATGATTTAATGTGTAATTATACCAAATATTTTATATGCCATATCATCTTTTCCGTTAAATATTAACATCAGTTGGTTTTATTAAATGCATTTAAATAGTACTTAAGTGACTTGATTGACAAAATTTCAAAAACGATGGTCAAAATAAAAAGGGACAATAGTTAGGTGGTCACTAGTATAGTTTATCTTTAAATTTTCAACTAATTTATAATTATACGTTAAATCCTTTAGAATTTTAACATTTTATAAATTAATTTATCGGTGTTCATCATTGATGATGCTCATCACCACTAATGGAGCGTGGAAGAATTATCAAAAAAAAAAAATATTTATGTTGCTGCACTACCATTTATCTTTAAAATCTGGTATTTTTATACTTCATCAAAAAAATTATTAATCTTATTTATTATATTAATAAAGAATATAAATATAAATAAAATAAAAAATCATAAAAATACACGTGGACTTATATTAGGATGTCATGTCACTACCGCTAAATTTAACATTTCAATTGACATTATTATTTAAATAATAATAATTCAAAAAAAATTAAATATTGATAATTAAATTTAACTCGTTTTAAAATATTGATATTCAAGTTTAATTTTTTTCGAAAAATTATGAGTAAAAGTTAACACAAAATAAAATCAAATTATAAAAACACACTTAAAAATTAAAATTATTATTGTGTCAATTATTTGTAATAGTTCAACTATTTGTTCAAGTGAACTGAAAAAATCCTAGTCATATTTTGGAGTTAGTTTTTATTTAATTTTTTATATCACATCTCTATTTTTTTTGTCTTTTAGTTTTCAATAATTCTATCTCTATGGCACGATTTTATCTACTTTTATGACACGTTTTCAGTCGTTTGACTGTTATTTTAGTTTATCTATTTTCTCATGGTTGAATTTGACCTCGTCACAAGTGATCAAGATGACGCTTATTTGTTATCATGTTGATTTTTCCTGCATTGGATCCTCAGATTTGATTTAGATTGTAACACCTTAAGCCCGATTGGGCTTAACGTGCCACACTGGGCTGCCAAGACAACCCCTGATCATTTTCTTTTCAAACGTACTGTATGATATCATATTTAAAACATAAATAATGAATATAAAATAATTTAAAAAAATCAAAACTCTGTGACACATAATTTAAAATAAATAATACATCTTGAAGTTTACAACTCAAATACATTAGTAAGGTTCTAAGAATACACATGCTCACTAAGCTACATCCAGTACTCTGTAGGAGATACTGGAAATCCTACTACGATTGTGCTCCATGAACGACCCAGACTAGAAACCTGCCAATGGAAAACATCCGAAGGTTAAGCTTACTAAGCCCAGCAGTATAATCGCTAATCTAGAGCAGCATAAGAATTTCATAAACATAAGCATGCTGAAGACATGGTGTTCAAAACATTTTGATGTTTCGATATAACAAATTAAGTGTTAATGAATTTTAAGATTTTATATTGAATTTTAAATTATATATATTCGATTAAATTATTCAAATATCAAAATATTACTCCAAGTTTTTCAAAAGTCAATTTCAATCCTTACTCAAGTGTAAAATTATGTTTTAATCTTAAAATAATCTCAAAACAAATTTACAAAGTATTTTGAACATTTTCAAAGCCAAAAATTACAGTTTGTCCAGAGAGAACCGATTCCCCCCAGGGGTATCGATTCCCCCAGAATGGTTTGGCTCCGAGAAATAACAGATTACTCGGAGGGAACCGATTCCCCCCAGGGGTACTGATTCCCCCCACACTCCAAGCAGTTTTATTAATTGTTTTCACACTTAAAAAGCTCAATTGACTCCACTAATCATCCTCAACGTTCAAAATCAATTGAAGGAGTATTTAAACAAGCTTAGAAGCAATTGATCAAAAAAAAACAAGAAGCAACAATTAACAAGAATTGATAGAAAATCAAAGAGAAAGCATCAAACTCATTGTTTGAGCACTTCAAGCCTATTTTTCATTCAATATTCATTGTGATTTCAAGAACACCATTTGTGCTCTATTGTATTTATCCTTGAGTGTTCTTTTTTTTGTTCGATAATTGTGCAAACAATCTACCTTGTGAGGTTTTCCTTGTAAGTTTGCAAATTTGTGTATTTCTCTTTGAAAAAGAGTGTGCTCAAGAATTTGGGGTATAATTCTTGAGGGAGTTGTAAGATTACTCTTTGTCCTCAAAAGAAAGAACAAATTAGTGAATTTGTTGGAAAATCCTTAGTGTGGATAGCTAAGGTAGTGGACGCAAACTTTGGTTGAGAAAGTCGAACCACTCTAAATCGCTGTGCAAATATTTTCAATTTTCTGCAAAAGTTTCAACCAAAATTTTTATTGCCAATTCACTCCCTCTTGGCCAATTTCATCGATCGATTAACTCAACAATTGGTATCAGAGCCTCACTCATTTGAAGGTTTAATCGCCTCTTGAGTCGATTCAGGAAGAGTTACATCGATATTCAAGTCATCAATGGTCGGCGCTTAAAACTCCAACTTCATTCTCGATTCAATGCCCGTTAACAAGTCTCCTTTCTTCAATGGAGCTAACTATGCTTATTGGAAGAATAGAATGATATATTTCAATCAAGAAAGTGACATGGAAGCATGGAATATCATAGA